AACAAATATGTGACCCTGAGCCACAAAACCAGTCGTAAGGGTCAATGTTTCGAACTTGCTTGCGAATAATCTTTCCATTGATGTATGGTTTGTTAGGATATGACAATATTTGGCTGAGATACAACTATTTGAAAATCTGGAATCTGAGGGTGCAAAAAAATCTAAATATTGAGAAAATCATCTTTAAAGTTGTTCAAATTAAGTTCTTAGCAATGCATATTACTAATCAAAAATTAAGTTTTGATATATTTACAGTAGGAGATTTACAAAATATCTTCATGGAACATGATCTTTACTTAATATCCTAATGATTTTTGGCATAAAAGAAAAATCTATAATTTTGACCCATACAATGTATTGTTGGCTATTGCTACAAATATACCCCAGCGACTTAACACTGCTTTTGTGCTGCAGGGTCACACATAATTTGCACCTGTATATGCATTTGAGTTCATGTGAGTTATGAGCTAAACTTCATCATCACATACTGTATGTGTTTAAGAGCATCATGATGTTGTTCGTTAGATCGCAGCATGGTTCCCGTGCATCGTCTGTGTTGTTTCCAGTTCACACACATGTCTGAAAAGCAAAGGAGCCGAACGCAATTGTAACGTGTTAAAATAAAACCCGGGGAAGCTGAAAAATACATGAAGCTTTCGACAGAAGAATGATTAATTCATGAAGTGCCATGCTCGCTGAAGTACAAGTCTGTATAATACATAACATTGTACTTAATTTGGGAAGTGACATCGCCTGTGATTAATTCATGCGAGCCGCCGGCTGTCACGCATTCATCCAGAGCTCTCTCTGAGACCAGACCCATGCGTTTCTTAACCTTTACCTGTCACCCATCCCTCAGAGGCGTCCTGCGTCTGCTTCACTATATTACTAATAAATCCTAATCTAATGACAAACTTTATGACAAGAGAGCACCTCAAAAATCTACATCGTAACAGGAGTTCTGACGTTTGTCACAAACATTGCATTGCATGGAAATGGCACATCAAAATAACATCGCAAAATGTTTTCGTCCATGAATTATTATAACCGTTTAAGTTTGGACAGTGCACTTTGACGTCTGTGTTGAAAGCTGGGAGTGGCAGTGTAAGGGTTAAAGAGTGTGATTTGAGCCGTGTCTGCTTCAAAGGTAATGTGGAAACAGTGTTTGTGAAGGCCAGCGCTGTGGAGCCGAGATGAGCTTTTTCTGATGGATTCATTTCTTTCATGTGTGCAAAGAGCCCGGGAAACATGTAATGCAATGTTAATGCATTCTAGTTCGGCCTGAATTATTGATGGCCGGGCGACTCGTGTAGAGGAGCTCTCTGATTGGTTGAGATGAAATCAGAGCCGCTCTGTAATCGAGGGACGCCGGGCTCTGAAGTGGCGATGACAGAATTATGATTCAGAACTGTGTCAGCTGCTCTCCACTCTTTAACTTCTCTAAAGGCTTTCTGTGCCGCGCTGCCGGATTGATCTGGACACGCAACTTTATGCCTTGCAAACTTGAAGGATTAGCGTAGTGTTACTTTAGTTTCTGTTAATATTTTAAATTAGATTTTATTTTTAGATTTTGTTTTAACTTTAATTTGAGTTAGTTTCTGTTAATATTTTAAATTAGATTTTAATTTTAGATTTTATGTTTTCACTTTAATTTGAGTTAAAGTTTTAGTAAATTTGTCATTTTTATTCATATTTTTTTATTGAATTTTTTTATTTTATTTAGTTTTATTTGAGAAGTTAAACTAAACAAAAATGCCTTGGAAACTAGCTGAAATAAAATGTTTTTTTTCTATTTTCTATTTCTATTTTATTATTTTACTAAAATGTTTTTTATGGTTTTAGTTTTAGTATAGTTAACTATAATAATCCTGGTTTAACTTTCTATTATTTTCTACAAATTCTACTGGTTTGTCACCAACATAATGTTATCATAAATTACTTTTTGTTGAAATCTGTCTCTAGTTTTTGACACTTTTTCGACTGACGCTTCCAAAGTTTATAACAAGAAAAATGGCTTATGATACACTGTAGTAAAAAAAAGTAACTTTCCTGGATTAAATTTTTTGAGAGAACTCAAAAATTCTTCATATTTCAGGTTGACTAAACTTAAAATGTTAACATTTTAAGTTAAAAACACTTAACACAAAAACACTTTCCCCCGGTTTCACAGACAAGGCTTAAGCTTAGTCCCAGACTAAAATGTAAATCTGAGCTGTTTAATCTGAAAGAAACTTGCACTGATTGATCTTTAAATATATCAGTGCCTTTGTTTTGTCTCAAGATGCACACCAGGCACGTCTAAGGCACGTTAATAAAAAATACTTAAATGTCCTGATTAAACTATGGCCTAATCCTGGTTTAGTCTAAGCCCTGTCTGTGAAACCAGGCCATAAAGTAAAACAAAAAAATGTGGATGCATCATCAAGAATGTGTTGACTACAAACCAATCAGTACATTATATCACATTGTTTCCAGCACAAGTGCGTTTAAGAATGTATAACGTTACTTTATTGCACATTTCTTTTGTAAAAAAGAACAAAGTAATTGTAAAGCAGCAGAACATGCACCAAGGGTTTATGAACTGATAACATGCATAGCTTAAATGCAGTGTAAGTCACTCTGGTTAAAAGCGTCTACCAAATGCATAAATGTGAATGTAAAAATATATTTACATCAAATACATAAAAATGCATTGCAAAGCCAAAACGGATCGTTCTTCAGCAGTGGGGTGAGCTACAGATGTAGTAATGGCATACGGCAGTCTTTATCAGATTGGCTCTGATGTGTGTGAGGTTCATATACTCTACAGATGAGTCTATGAACCCATCGGTTACTGGTGACCCGCTCTGATGGTTTAGTTCTTGCTTGTATTGGAAGGGTTTTGTTTGCGTTCGCTCCAAAGCTAAATCAGATTCAGATGTGCTGAATAATCTGATCTTTCCGGCTGCGTGGCATGGACGTGTGTGTGAAGCAGAATCAGCTTCTCTGTGCTGATGCTCATCGATAACCTCTGTATGATTAACCAGTTTAATATGTCAGGTCACGTTTATTTATATAGCGCTTCTTACAACACTGTTTGCTTCACAGCAGCAGTAAAGACACCAACCGCTTCGGCGTCAAAGCTTTTCAATCAGGATTCAGTGTTTTTATGGATATTTGGTTTTGTAATAGTCTGTCTCATACCCCTTTGTTCTTTGGTTTTTATTTCCTCTGGTAAACCAAAAATATATACTAAGGCAGAAAATAAAAAATTCTTTATTAAAATTATTAATTGCAACTTTTTATATCACAGTTCCGACTTTTTTATTGCAAATCTAATTTTATATCTCACAATTCAGACCTTTTTTCTTTTCAAAATTTTGATTTTTTTTCTCAGAATTGTCAAAATGGTAATATAAAGTCAGATTTGCAATATAAAGTCAAAATTGTGATGTAAAGTCAGAATTGAAAAATATAGTCAAAATTACGTGATATAGTCAAAATTGCAAGATATAAAGTCAAAAGTCAAAATTGCGATATAAGGTAAAAATTGCGAGATATAAAATCAGATTTGCAATAAGTCAAAATTATGATGTAAAGTCAGAATTGCAAAATATAGTCAAAATTGCGATATGAAGTCAAAATTGTGAGAAAGTCAAAATTGTGAGATATAAAATCAGATTTGCAATAAGTCAAAATTATGATGTAAAGTCAGAATTGCTAAATATTGTCAAAATTGTGATATGAAGTCAAAAGTGCGATATGAAGTCAAAATTGTGAGATAAAGTCAAAATTGTGAGATATGAAGTCAAAAGTCAGAATTGCGATATAAACTCAGAATTCCAACTTTTTTCTTGTAATTCAGTTTTACTCGAGTTTATATCGTGCAATTATGATTTTCAATCTCAAGTTTTATTAGAATTAAGAAAAGTCCAAATTGTGAGATGTTGCAATTACCTTATTTAATTTTATAATTTTTAATAATTTATGCATTTAGCAGACGCTTTTATCCAAAGCGACTTTCAGTGCATTCAGGCTATACATTTTTTACCAGTATGTGTGTTCATCACCTTACCTGTGATGGAAGCAGGTTTCCATAATATACAAATAAATGACAGAATATATACAAATATATGACAAAAAAATTATACAAATAAAAAGAAAAACTTCTGCAAGATGTGTTTCTAATTGAAACAGTATATATATAATAAACAGATCATATGTAATATAAATAAGCTGTAGAATCAATAGATAACTCTTTAAAAATGACTACATGTGACCGTGCATGTTCGAGTCAAAGCCGAGTTGACAAAGAAAGTTGATGCTCAGCATCATGGTACCAACTAGACATGTGCCGGTATTCGGTAATGCGATATGTCACCATATTGTTATTGTGGGCACTTAAAAATACCGTGAATAATTATTTAGCCTATTACAAATTATTCAGATTTTTTGAATGCATTTTAAGAATAATTTTCCCATCAGTACTTTTCTCTGACAGCAGATGGCGCTGATGGAACAGCAGAAATGCAGCTATTCAGATTTGTGTGTTCGCTATGGTGTTCATCACAGCGCCAAATACTTCAATATTTAGACATAGGGCCAGTTTTACTAACAGCTTGCGCCAGCGCAAACCGTCTTTTGGCGTTAAAATATTACTGTCAGGTTTCACTAAAGACGCGCAGTGAGGAATTAGCGCTGTAAAGGCATGGACACAGTTATTTTTGCGCCTGACCTTATTGAATATGCATTTCAGACGCAAAATTTATGGGAGGAGAATATTAAAATGAATCACGCAACGCACAACATACAACATGCCCTAGATATTGTTTGAAAATATTTTGATTCTTTATCGTTCGGTCACACCTTACATTAAGGCTCCATTAGTTAATTAATTAGTTAACAAACTGCCAATGAAAGATTCTTCTAAACATTCATTAATCTTTTGTAATTTCAGAATTTAACAGCACGTTGTTAAAACCAAAAGTTGTAACTGTATTATTTAATGGAGCTGAGCTAACATGGACTATCAGTTGTATTTTGTAACAAAGATTAATAACTTGTGTAGCAAATGTAGCTATTGTTAATGTTAATGCATTAACTAAGGTTAACTAATGAGATCTTATGGTAAAGTGTTACCTATTGGTCTTTATTATTCTTATGCACTTTAATCTGTGTGAAATCTGTTTTTACTTTATGGTGTATTGCTTTATTGCATTTAAATGTTCAGTTCTCTTTGTTATAAGAAAAACCTGGTATATGACAACTCTTTTTTTGCAACTAAATCTCAATATCGCGATAATACCGTATACCGTGATAAAAGCAATAGCAATTAATCGCAACTTGAAAATTTGATATGGCTAGTTGGTACTAGCCAGATTGGAGTGGTTTGGTTTTGTCAACTGGAGACTAATCCTGTAACTCTGAATTAGTTTAACTAGCATCACGGTACAGGCCCGAGGAAGATGAAGAGTGAGTTTCAGATGATGTTTTTCAGAGTGAGCGCTGTGGAGTCTGTCGGATCGTGTCTGCGGCGGATCTTCATCATGCTCCGGTGCTGCCGGCTCGGTCCGAGCGTCCGGTGCGTCTGCAGGGAGACTGGGTGAGCACGCGGTGCGAGGTGCGTCCGGGAGTCCTCTTCCTCACCCGACAGCTGACCTTCCACGAGGACAGCCAGACCTGGACCGGACAGTACGAGCACTTCTCTGACCCGGTCTGCCGTCACCCCACCTTCAGCATCTCAGCCAGCGGACGCTACAGCCGCGGAGCTCCATCTGCAGCCATCGGGGGCGCCGTCGAGTTCACCTTCACCGGTCAGTCACCGATATCACCAGCATTAACACATCACTCACATACTGACATGTGTGACCCTGGAGCACTAAACCAGCCATAAGGGTCAATTTTTCGAAATTGAGATTTCTACATCATCCGAAAGCTGAATAAATAGCTTTCCATTGATGTATGGTTTGTTAGGATCGGACAATATTTGGCTGAGATACAACTATTTGAAAATCTGGAATCTGAGGGTGCAAAAAAATCTAAATATTGAGAAAATCATCTTTAAAGTTGTTCAAATGAAGTTCTTAGCAATGCATATTACTAATCAAAAATTAAGTTTTGATATATTTATGGTAGGAAATTTACTAAATATCTTCATGGAACATGATCTTTACTTAACCCCTTAACTGTCACCGTCTCTTTTATTTTGTTGTCCTTTTTTTCTATCAAATATTTTTGTGAAAACCATTTTGAAATCGGACGTTGCGTTACCATGGAAATGGTACTTTAAAATCTTTTGGCGGTCTCCTCCCCCTTAGTCGTTATTTTGTATTTTGTAATATTGACAGAGAAATCTAGACATTTGTGACAGAAAATGCATTAAAAAAATTCAATGGAGTTTTGATGGCACCCGGTGGCTGTTTGTGGCTTAAATAAAATCTCACAGAAACATACATTTTTTTCATATCAACTTCAAATTTGGAACATAACTTATTTAGACATAAGGCTTTACTTTAATAAGAGACCAACCTTTCCTCTGTATTCCAAAGTGTTCATGAATTATAACAATTTAAGTTTGGATGGTGCACTTTAATGCCTATTTTAAAAAATGGGGGTGACAGTTAAGGGGTTAATATCCTAATGATTTTTGGCATAAAAGAAAAATATAATTTTGACCCATACAATGTATTGTTGGCTATTGCTACAAATATACCCCAGCGACTTAACACTGCTTTTGTGCTGCAGGGACATTTGAAGTGTATTTGTGACTCTGTATTTGCACACATTTCCAGAACATAAATCTGAACATTGGATGAATCCAGGTTCATAATTCTTGTCTGATTTTGTCGTCATATTAGAGTTAAAAGTTTTTCCAAAGGGGATTCTGGATTTCTCTTTTTATCACTCTATAAATCAGAAAATGCTGTCAACAGACAGAAAACAAACACATCTTCACCATGTTTCTGGAGTAAAATGTTTATAAATCAGTGTGAATGAAATATGAACAAACCTTCAGAATATAGAGAGGAATAAAACTGTAAGGTTTGGTGAATGTAAGAGAAAAACTCTTTAAAGTTATGGACTGGAATTGAAATCTACAGAAACAAAAAGATAAAATGCAATAAAATTAACACTTAAATGTGTATTTTAGATGTTTTCTATGAAAGCTCATTTCCACCATGGAATAACTAAATAAAAAGCTAATTGGCACTTTTTCATCTCACAATTGACTTTTTTCTTCCAGTTCTAAGATGTAAGTTAAATAAGATAAATACTCACAATTCAGTTTTTTTTTTTTTTTACCAACATGGAATAAAAAAAGGTAATTGCAATGTTTTATATCACAATTCTGACTTTTTTCTGGAAAGTTTCACTTCGTATCTTGCAATTCTGACTTTTTTCCCACTATTTTTTTCTTCTCAGAATTACAAGAAAAAAGTCAGAATAATGAGGGAAAAAAGTCAGAATTGTGAGATAAAAAGTCATAATTACCAACGCTCTCCATTGACTCTGTATTGCGGGAAGCTGCCTACTTGTCATTTCTGACTTGTAACAAAAACAGAACGATGTCTAAAAGCTGCTGTGTGAAAGGTGTACAGCAAACAAGCTACAAAACCCAGAACTACGTTTGTATAAGCTGTCGACCCAAAAAAAGAGAGTTTAAGGACACAAAAGTGGAGTGCATCGTGTCATATTACTCTGAGAACTGCGCCCACTGGAGGGAAACGTGATTATTTTAATCATGTCAGAGGATTATTTCACCACTCGATGTGAATCTGAGAGGAGGAGATATACTGAGAAACTAATCTTTATTGGCCTGTCAGTGCCCCTTTTCCTTACCTTGCTTTTGTTTGAGAAATGATCTAACTGAACGGCCCAATGTGAAATACCCTGACATCTACAACTATTTGTGTCCTAAAACGCGTTTTTGGGTCGACAGCTTATAAAAATGTAGTTCTGGGTTTTGTAGCTTGTTTGCTTAACACCTTTCACACAGCAGCTTTCAGGCATTGTTCTGTTTTTGTTATCAGTCAGAACATAATCATATAATATAGTATGAAAAAATGAAGCAGATATTGTTCAGGAATTCCCTTTTTGAGGTCAATTATTTATTAGGTTTATAAAATAATGTAATATATAAAAACAAACTGAAGCATTTAAAGGGTCAGTGCACCCAACAATTAAAATGCAATATCCATATTTAAAACGATATCAACAGTTTTGTGTCACGTTTGAGTCTCGCGAAAACCAACGTTTGTTAACAGGAGCAAAGGAAGCTAAGTTTCCTTACTTTAGCAAAGGAAAACCAGTCTCCTCTTACCTTAAAACACCCATTCACTGCCATTATAAAGCTTGGAAGAGCAAGGATAATTATTAATATAACTCCGATTGGATTTGTCTGAAAGAAGAAAGTCATACACACCTAGGATGACTTGAAGGCGAGTAAAACATGGGGTAATTTTCCTTTTTGGGTGAACTAACCCTTTAAGGGGTTAAAGAAGTGTTTCTAATCGTGTGCATCTGCAGTGACGCACATGACGGTGACGCCCATGGATGTGGCCACCACGTCTCTGCTGAACATCTTCCGAGGTCGCGAGTGCGGGTCCGAGGGCTCGTGGCAGCGGGGTGTTCCCCAGGACGTGACCTCCACCTCGGGCTGCGCGGCGCTGGGCGTGCGTCTGCCTCACACCGAGTACGAGCTCTTCCGCGCCGGCCAGGACCCGTCTGGACACAACCTCCTCTACAACGGCCAGAGACCCAGCGACGGCTCCAGTCCGGACCGGCCCGAGCGACGGCCCACCAGCTTCCAGCCGCCGCTGATCCGCTGCAGCCGCGGGGGGCGAGAGCGAGAGCAGCCCTTCAGACTGAGCGCCGGTGGCGGCTCAAACGCTCTCCACACACTCGCCGCTGCGCTCGTCCTGCTGCACACGCTCATGTAGCCACACCGAGAACGTGACTTCACCAAGACATAGGCCTAACCCTATCCCTACCCATAACTTATCCCTAAAATCAGAGGGGAATGATAGTTGACTAACAAGGGTGTAGAAGCACCTCACTCTGGTTGTAAGGCTACAATTGACTTGTCCTGTAAACTTATCCCTCAATTCTGATTGGTTGATTTGAATGTTGATCCAGGAACATTTTGCACGTGGTGAAATCACATTCACCGGGTTGGGTCTATGTTTTGGGACAATAATGTTGATCCAGGAACATGTCTGTCTTGGCAAAATCACGGCGAACGTACGGAGAGACACGCTGATCGGCCCGTTTATCAATGTTTGCACTAGTTCACGAACAGTGTTGGGGAAAGTTACTTTTAAATGTAATGCATTACGATATTGCACTACTCTCTAAAAAAGTTACTAATTACATTACTTGGTTACTTTTGCATTACTTTTTAAATCCGGGCAGGGCTTGCTTTTTGTTTTTAATATAAAAAGTTATATTTTTGGCAAACGTAAAAGCCCTTTTGCACCAAAAGTGAAATGAATACGCCTCAGGCTGAAGGAAAATTAAATTCACATGTGTACAGTAGAACACAGGATAAGAAAATTCAACACTTCAGTGAAAAATATATAAATAAAAAATATATAAATAAAAAAATATATAAATAAAGCACAAATGTTATCTAAAGTAATTTTTGCTTATTAGTATGGTACTAGTATTAATAACTGGATCATTGAAGATCAGCAGCAAAGACATTGGTTAATAAAATGGGATTAAATCCATAAAGTGTATTTGTATTATTTAACATATTTAATTTTTGCTGGTTTGCGTCATATTCTGAGTTTGCATTTCAGTTTTTATTTATTTTGAGGTATACTGAATGTGTTTTTTCTGTTCACATTTATTCTAGAGCTACAGTAACATCATGTTCACACAGAGCTGTTAGTCAGTCAATGGGAAAACAAAGAAACTAGCGTTACTTATTTGAAAAAGTAACTTGGCTATTTTCTTGTAAACTAAAAAGTAACGTGTTACTAGTTACTTGAAAAAAGTAATCTGATTACGTAACTCACGTTACTTGTAATGCGTTACCCCCAACACTGTTCATGAAGCTGCTCGTAACATTTAGGAACAAAAAGTGAGCATCCAACACTCAAAAAGGGAATGAATGTTGTGTTGTTAAACGAAGCTTGTGAAGGTCGTGACACGTGCATGCGCTCTAATGTAGTTCCTGTTCATCCTGTACAGCGTCACATTCACTGGAGCTCATCATTCATTATTTAACAGCAATTACAGTTCAAATAATGCTATCTGTAGTTTCACAGACGCTCCAGAGCTGCTGATTTCATGCAGAATCGCTGTAAATAATTGTATTTTAGAGGACCTGATTGAAACCTCGTCTCGTGAACTTTGGAACAAAAAACCAACATTATATATATATATATATATAAAAACACATTTTCATTACTTGAAATCAAATGTTAACTAAAATAAAATTAAAAAAATTATAATTTTCATAGTTTAACTTGATGTACTAAAATTGAAAATTATATAGATTACAAAAATATAAATAATATTAAAATTAAAAAATTTTATTTTAAATTTAAATGAGCACAGAAAATATATATAAAAACCTAGTTTACCATTTTGGAGAGAAAAATATTGTGATAAAAGTCAATATTTTCATAGTTTAACGATGTACTAAAATAAAGCAATAATCCCTGTGAAGCCGTGGTTTACAGTGAATTTATAACAGCTAAGGGGCGTTGTTAGGTATGACGTGAAGCAGAAAACCTCTTAGCTCTTATAAATTCACTGTAAACCACGGCTTCACGGGGATTATTGCTTTTATAAAAGGTTATTCCATATACGTAGTAAGGTTTCACAAAATAAAACAGAGCAAATAAAGTGTAATGATATTAATAAAAACAGTATTCTTCCACCAAACAATGTAGTTCCTCAGAAACAGTTGTGGTTGCAACAAAGTGGTTGCTGAGCAACAGACAAACGTAAACAAAGGTGTGTTACTTTGTAGAGTCATTTACAACAGCTTCGAACGCGGCTCAACCAATCAGAATCAAGCACCGGAACTATCTGTTTTATAATTGAAAACTATATAGACATTACAAAAACATAAATAATATAAAAATTAGAATTAATTTAAAATTTTAATTTAAAATTAGAATGAGAACAGAAAATATATAAAAACCTAATTCACAATATTAATGAAAACTATATTTCAGTAAAAATGCTGTTAAGTAATTTTGAAAGAATAATGGACCATTTTTGATCGTCAGTCTAATCATAAAACACATTTATCATACACATTTCTGGCACTTGACACACATGATTTACGCAGAGACATTCAATAGTGAGAAAGACATTTACTGTGTTGAGCAGCTGACTGGATCTCATGCACAGATCAGAGACGAAGCGCAGACAGCACGAAGAGCGTTAAAGATTCTTTATTTCAGCATGTTAAACACCACGGGACAGGACTGCAAACCTGATCTATTCAGTCAAGTTGCCTCACAATCGAATATAGAATAATTTGCATAAAGAAAACTCAGTGAAATGATCAGAATCGCTTGCGTTCGTTCCCGGCTGACGTCGTCACATTCGAGAAAACAAGCGTGGAAATGTGTGTAACGTCACCATCCAGCGACATCAGCTTGTGTTTGTATGACGATGAATCTCCATTGCTTCCCATTTGCTCAAAAGAATCCAAAGAACATGTACATGACACTTAAACATTCCATTAAACTCTTAATAAACCACAGAGAGAAAGAGAAACACGTCCTTTTATTGATTGATAGGTTTTTCAGGTTGATTGATGTTGTTTCAGGTCTCTACACACACAGTGCCTCCATCGGGCTGCTAGTGATGCTCGGACAAATGGACAATTTCTTCTTCCCTGACCCCAGAGTAACCCACCCGGAACCACAGACGGCCCGCTTCTGAGTGTGTGTGTGTGTGTGTGTGTGTGTGTGGTTGAGTGTGTGTGTGTGTGGTTGAGTGTGTGAGGGTGAGTGTGAGTGTGTGTGGGTGAGTGTGTGGGTGTGTGTGTGAGTGTGTGGGTGAGTGTGTGTGTGTGAGTGTGTGTCTGTGTGTCTGTGTCTGTGTGTGTGTGTGTGTGTGTATCAAACGTT